TACAAACTCCCAGTTGTGACTTCCTTCATTGTAATTGAGTGCTTGTGGGTACGAGTGGTAGGAGGAGAAGAAAATGGGCGAACATGGATCGGGTGTAGGCAGCAGGTTACACAATGGCTTGTGATCATGTACTGGTGCTCGAATGCAAGTGGCATAGTGGGAGATGATCTTGAGAGAAGCATGCTTGAAGTGAGTTGTGCGAGATTTAGAGAACGAAGTGGGAGATTTAGAGGCAATAGGTGCAGGATGCAAATGCCAGAGAGGAAGAGTGTGGGAGAAAAAAAGTAGTATTTCATTTTGAAATGTCAGTCCTTCACACTCAGTTATTTCTTTGTTAAAATTTAAACATAGATCAAACTTGATGGTTTGTTTTTTCTTTTTTTACAGATGTTTTATCTCTAGTATTGCATTTTAAATTTTCTACTATTTCCTTTCATGGCTTCAATTATATAATTTTCTAAGTCCAGAGGAATATATTGAATCATATTGTGTTACTAAAGTAGGCCTTTTCCTACTGTACCAGCATTTGGAGATCATGATTTGGTGCATTCAGCATGATTTCCTTGAGAATGTGCAGTCGTGCTATCCTGACTATCAATCATGGGCATCACATGCTCAGGAAAGGAAGTCAGCAGCTATTAAGCAATCCTGGCCTGATAGTTCAAGTTATTTGGCATATTATGGTGATCGATCTGAGCCTGCATTATTTATTGAGCAGGCATTGTCCAATCTTGAAATTGAAGAATGCTTCGGAGATAAGCATGATGAAATAGATGTATTTTGCTTGCAGGACACAAATTCTCCCGTAATGTTTTCATCTAAAATTAATGAGTCTTACAGGAATCATGCATCAGCGTGTTACCCTTTTAAACAAGCACGAGCTGCTGTGGATGCTATATTTTTACACGGAGCTTCTGATATGGTGATTGCAAAAAGAGCTATAGTATCCTTGAGAGTTTGAACTTTCTTATTGTTATACTCTATTATTAAAAAATTAATTTTATTTTTTATTTTTTATTTTTTATTATCCTTGACATTCTTGTAGTTCTTATATTATTTATTTGACCGGCATTGGACTTTACCAGATGCAGAATGGAGGTATGTAGTTGATGATTTTGCCTCGTCATTTGGTATAGGCAGACTTCAACTACTGGAATCTTTGATGTTTTATCTTCTCGATGATCACACGGATCAGGCCTTGCAGGTAATCTTTTCATGTCATGTTCATTTGTTTGTTTATTAATCCACTAGTATTTAAAATCTAGAATTTAGTATTGTTTTGCAAATTTAGATGAACGATGTAGGCATGGATGATATATATGGCAAAGT